ATATATATATATATATATATATATATATATATATATATATATATATATATATATATATATATATATATATATATATATATATATATATATCAGCGTGTCGGTGAGTCTGAGAATATTAATTTGTCTGTTATTAGTTGCATGATTAAAGCAATTTAATTTGGATAACTTGAGATAAAAATAACTAATTAAGTAGTTTAAATTGTGGACATAATTAGAATAAGTTAAATTCATTTTAATTATGTTAGATTTATTTATTAAATAGATATATATTTACTGATTTTATAGGAAATCATAAAATTATGGGATGGTTGAGTGTTGAGATGGAAACTTCAAATTTCTAGAGGTAGGAAAATTTGAAGAGAGGAAAACAACAGATTAAGTAGTTTGGGTCGATTTGGGTCTTCATAAAATTAGTTAGGATTGAAATATTCAAGAAAGTTGTAATTTTCTTTGATTTTTACATCTTCAAAGTCAATGACGGTTATGTATTATATTTATAGACTTTTATTTTATGTTTTCATTTTTGTTATAGCCTATAAACTCAATAATAACATACAAAGAAGCTTTTTTTTATATTTTAGGTGAATAAATTTGTTATTTTTATTCCTTTTTTAGACAAATTAATAGAGGAAAACCTTTATTTGTGTAGAAAATGTTCACTAGTAAAAGTTTTTGAGTTTGACATATCACACACAAAAATAACATGTTAGTTATCCTTGATGCTTCGTACGTTTTCATCGTAGACAAACACATCATACATAAAAGGGATGTATTGATCGCGTCTAATATTTTAGATGCCTATTATCTTAGGTGAATAAATCTGACGTAAGAAGGATGTGTTGGTTATTTTAGGTGAATAAATCTAATGTAAAAAAGATGTGTTGGTTCCATTAGACACTTTAGATGTTATGTTTTATATAGATACATAACAAGAACACATTGGGTCATATTGGTTGTCGAGCTTTCCGAATGCTTCATCTTGGGTAGATGTATCATGCGCATGAAAAACTCATTGGTCGAATTGGATGATATGAGATGGAATAAGTATATTATATATATATGTTATCAGCTTTAATATATTTTCATTCGCCTTATGTTAATGATGCTTAGAGAATTCTGATATGGGCTGTGAGACGTCGGTCGGTTCTGAGAATGATGTTTGTGTTGTCAAGATGAGCAATAACGAGTCACTCTTCATTTGGTGGTTGAGGCTTTGTTGTATTAAAGAGACTATTACGTCTCGATAATTGGTAGAACAAAAATACATTATTTCATTCTTTCTGTCTTACCGATCTGAACAAGTCATGTATAGTGTCGACTTCACCAACTCATCTTGAAAATGTCTTAATGGTACGGCCACCATTCTTCTAATGAATCTTATCTTTCGGTGTTCTTCGGACGTTCTCGGTCTGTGAATGCTCCTCAGAGGTAGTCATGGAGAACTCGGTCTGACTGCGCTACCGTGCAAAGTGTTGCAGGTCCACCACCATGACTGTAATGTCATCCCTGTTGGCCCTCCTGCAAGCGAGTTCCACAAGCTCTTTGCTTGAGTGCTTCATGGACTCGCTGTGCTTCCGAACAACATCCACTGCTTCCTGATCTGTGACCTGATGAATACATACATTGAGAGTGAGGATCCGATTCATACAGTGCAAGGAGTAAGGCCGGGCTCTTGGTTTACCTTCTCCCATAACCCATCCGAAGCCATTACTAGGAACTCGCAGTCGGGAGTCAACCTGATGGTCTTGGTCTCAGGTTCAGAGATTACCCATTCCTTCATGCTCGCGTCGCCAATCGATCTGGTCACAGCTAGTGAATCCTGAACTCTCCACACGCCATTCCGACAAGTGATGTACCCACCCTGGTGTGATGCATGCATTCGAAGACGATTGTGGGATGAATTAGCTGCTGAGATGGACGTCTTCAGCTGGATGCAAAGCGTATTGATGCAGAAAGACTTACCGAGCTCTCGATGCGAACCCTCTCATCTTCTCTTCCGGCGTGGTGGTCGCTCGTAAGCGCCTTCGCGATCCCTCTCCGGCTCAGAACCACTCTGCAGTCTCCCACATTGGCGACATGCAGCTCTCCATCCTTGAGTACAACGGTGGATGCACACGCTCCACTCTTGACGCCCTGCGGATGAAGGAAACCACTGTGTGTTCATCAAGACACATGGAATTTTCGTGGCAATGGCAGATGAGATTGTATACCTGGCTGATGAATTCTTTGTCAGTGGTCAAATAGCCTGCTTTAATTGCCACTTCCGGTTGGATTTCTTGCTTGTCTTGACCAGCAAGAGATGATATGATGTTCTTTCCTAACTTCTCGGAGACAAAGTCAACGGCTGCTCGACCCCCATGTCCATCAAAGACACCGAAGAATGCCTGCAAACCATTCAAAAGAAGATGAGATTTTTCTCTTATAATGTCATAGCATTAATTTATACTTTTTATCTTCAACTTGTATACATGCGTTGGAATCTTTCAACTGGTTCGTTGGAGGGTGGTGTTAAATCTTATGTATGTTCTAATGTTTGACTTTTTCTTGTTAGCTTAACCTTCTAAGTTACTCAACTCATTATTTTATCGTCATCATATGACTTAGATTTCTTCACTCAATAAAAAGAAATGATTCCCATTCTCATTTTTTAGAACTATACGCATCATGTACTTCATGTGGCTACCTTGAAATGGAGACAAATGGGTGCATATAAGGAGTGCAATTTGCTTCAAGATATCATCATAAGTCTCAAATAACTAGTAATATATAGAATCATATAAAACCAATATATCATATATTTCACTGCAGAAATTACATGAATTAGGAAAGATAAATTACCTGTTTTGGATCTCCATTTATGTTGGGTATTATTCCATGGCCATCTTCCATCACAGGTCTATGACCTCTCCTGCAAGCCAACCAGTATCCACACCCCTCAACTTCCCACTCCTTCTCACTCACATGTTTCTCTTCATCACCATCGACAAAGCCTGAGGCAGTGCACGGCTCAGGAATGGATAACGTCGTTGGTCTTCTTCTCATCTTCCTCAGGTGCGGCACCTGAGACTTCTTTACATCCTCTTGCTGATCAATTGCTTGGCCAGCTGATGAATAGAAATCAAGGTGACACTCCTTCAACCTCTTGTTAGCCTCGAAAGACAGCTCTGCAGGCCTCTTCGATGGCAGAGGAGGGAGAGGAGATGTACTGGGCCATACAGCCGTGGAGTAGCACTCCCTGAGAACATGGAACAGGTGAACAAGGGAACATGACAGTGAGCACTGGACCTCGACGGGATGCACCATGTCTTCTGCAGGTTTCTTGGTGTTTGCTCACCTAAGATCGAAGGTTTCTGTTCTGGCAGGCTGGCTTTGGCCGTGGAAGGGATGGTTAGGGCATTTATAAAGGGGTGGTGAGGAAGAGGATGAACGAGTCTCTTTTGTCATGCATGATTGGAAACGTGGACCTGTTATTACAAGCATAACATTAGTACGATACGGCGTTATATATATATGTATATATATATATAACGCCGTTATATATGTGTGTGTGTGTGAAGGTGGAAGGCTTCAATGGAGATATGATCGGACTTGGTCACTTGGACAGCTGATGTGAGGGGAACAACGATGAGCGTTGGATTCATTTGCTTGGAAGAAGTCATTCGAGGCTAGTGAGGTTTTGTCAATGGCGGATTTGTATTTGTTAGGTTTTGGTTGAGGGAGACTTTGTCCCAGTTCCATTCTCTTTATGCTCAGTAATAAGTAATTCGGACACGTGGCAGGTGATTCGCATTTCTTTACAAGGACAACACTATGATCCACTAACACGAATCTCAAACTCTAAGATACATCGTAACTACATCAAACACTCCTACACTCTTAGGTTTGGATTACGTTTGGTTGACTTAGACACAACGATCAAATCTCCTAACAAATCTAGAAGTGATAATAAATTGACTAGTCATAAATTTCATACTACAATCCAACGAGAGCCGGCTATGCCCCGCAAGGCGATTCGGTTAATTAATTCACTTGACACGTTCTCATGTGACTTGGACTATGTGGATTAATGCCTATGCTTGACGTAGTGCAATGCTGTCGTGTATAAAAGACTTGATCAAAGATCATAAGATTTGGGGCTCTTGGAATCGGTGTTGATGTGTACGTATATTATCCTATCCATATCATTCATTAGTGCACTCGTCGGCGGGTGTGTGTAGAGATGCGATTATTTCGAATTTATTTATTTTATTTCATTATTGTTTGTGAAAAATAATTTTATGGTTAATCCCAACTTTGCCATGGCCCAAGAGAGACACAAAAGGCCCAATTGCTATTTAAATCGTTCCACCGACCATCTCTTCCCACCCTTCTCCTCTCCCTTCTCTCTGATCGAGGGCTCGGGTCTCTCCCATGGCGGAGTCACGAGACCCGGCGAGTTGTGCTCTCCCGCCCTCACCGGTCACGAGGGGAAGCGGGAGGACGCGGAGCGGTGGGCTTTCGCGGATATCCCGGCTTTGGATGGAGGAGAGGCCCGGTAGCTTCACTCTGAGAGCGGGGTCGGCGGTTCTGGTAATTGTTATTTTCGGTCGATTTTATTATCTCTACCTTGTTCGTCCATCGGCTTCTTCGTTCCTCCTCCTTACGTTGTATTCCGCATTAGGGTTTCATCGCGGGTGAAAATTATGGTTTCGGTTAGGTTTAACGCTTTTGTTCGTCGAGCTTGGTTGATTAACCTCGTAGGACTGCATGCTACGGAGATTTTGGTTGCCGAGGCCGATCAGGTGATATCTGACACAAGACACAAGAACCTGATGCGCCCCTGGCTGCTGGTTGGACGGTTTATGGGAAGGCTGGTGCCGGGCAGCAACGACTTGATGGAAGAACTGATGTCTCTGGTCTCATTTCTTTTCATGTCATTTTTTGCCATTGCCCCCGTGTGCCCCTCTTTTTTTCCTTTAGGTTTTGTGATTTCAAGATGTTTGTGGCCATGAGATGCGTATCTTTCTGACCGACTCGATCTGTTTCCACCTTTTCTTCTGTCCCTTTATCTCGATCAAGAACTCGGAGCTCTCTGCAATGGCGGAGTCACTAGGCCCCGCAAGTTGTATTCTCCCGCTGTCTCCAGTCAAGAGAGGAAGCAAGAGGACGCGGAGCCCAGCGACGATGATGATGCCCTGTTAACAGAGCGGGAGGCCGGGGACGTGGCGGTGTCCGATAGCCGAGCCGCCCAGAGATCGTCGGTTCTGGTAATCATTGTTTTTGGTGGATTTTATCACGTCTACGTTGTTCGTCCATGGTCTTCTTCGTTCCTCCTTCATACCTTCTACTTCGGTGTTAGGTTGTGGGAAAAATTAGGGTTCCGGTTAGTTATGTTTTGACATGTTTCTATACGATGAATCATCAAGCAGTTCGCATTCCTTTTCTTGGTTGCGCTGTTAGGTATGTTTCCTTCTACTATGTTCACGTGCATGACTTTGATGGGGAAAATAAATTATGAGATAGAGAGAATTAGAGAATAAGAATTGAGGGATGAAACAAGAGTCAAGTTAAAATTTTTATTTCTTCTAGCTAAGTCTCTACACTTTTCTTTTCTCACTTTTTTTTCATGACAAAACTCATCTATTTATAGGACCATAGATGAGAGTTACAAAACTCAATTGTTAAGGCTACATTCATATAGTTTTATTGTATGTAACCTATCTAATTTACTAGTGGTTTATTATTTTTATAATTTCCTACTTCATGGTATCATGGTATAATCTTTCCATTCTTGTTAAATTCTAGAGGTTACAATTGTTTTCACCTATGTGATAATGAGAGGTTTCAATAATCTATTTTAATTAAATTTAATTCTCTTAACACCCCTTCAAACTTAATTCATTTTTATCACACATTCCAAGTGATGCCTTCATCTTAAAAAACATCTCCTAATTGAGGGGTTTGGTGAAAATATCTGTAACTTGATCACCGGATTTGATGTTGTCCAATGAAACTTCCTTCTTGATTTGATCTTAAACGAAATGATAACGAATGTCAATATGCTTGCTTCGTGGAAGATTGAGTTCTTGGCTAATGCAATTGTCGACCTGTTATCAACATTTGTCTTTGTAGCTTGATTTACTGAATAATGACTTTGTTTAAAATCTTCCTTAATCCTTAGTCATATAGCATGACATATACATGATGATGTCGCTATATATTCCACTTCACATGTAGGTAACGCCACAATGGATTGCTTCTTCGAATGCCAAGCAAAAGCGGTATCGCTCATAAAAAAACAAAGTCGATTGTACTTTTTGTTATTCTAGAGCTCCACCTAATCACTATAGGAATAGCTAACAAGTTGAAAATCATTAGAAAATGAATATAGTGTAGACCATGAGTCATGGCACCTTTGATGTAATGTAAAACTCTTTTAGCGACCTTCATGTGTGTCGACTTTGGTTGTTTCATAAATTAGCTTAATAATCCAGTTTCATATAAAATATTCAGGCTCGTGTAAGTCAGGTATCTTAAGCTTCCTACTAAGCTTTTGAAATGGATTGATCAACTATATCGCCATCATCTTATTCTGAAAGTTTGATGCTACATTCAATCGGTGTACCAATCGGTTTACAATCTTTCATCTTGAATCTTTGAGAACCTCCTTCATATATCCTTATTGTGAAATGAGGATATTGTCTTTACTTTGCTTCACTTCGATATCAAGGAAATAAGACACGAGCCTAATGTCATTCATTTCAAATTCTTAGAACCATTGTTTGTTTGAATTCTCCAAACATAAGTGAGTTGTTTCTTGTAAAGACAAGATCATCTACATACAAGCAAACAAGTAAGATATCTCTATTTTTGTTCATCTTCACACTTTCATAAGGATATTGTTTACAATCATTTTGCTTGAAGTAGGCATCAATTCTAGTATTTCAGGCTCTAGGTGCTTGCTTTTACCCATATAAAGCTTTCTTTAATTTAAGAACTTTTTTTCATGCCCCTTTTGTGATATAACACAATGGTAATTTTATGTATACTTTCTTTCCAAGAAAATTATTAAAAAATACAGATTTAATATCCATTTGATAAATTGACCAATTATTTTGTGCGGCAATGGATATAATCAATCTAATTGTTTCCATTCGGATAACAGGGGCAAATACTTCATCATAATCCAATGTTTTAAATTCAGCTCTAATTGATTGATGCCGAATTTTTATCACCTTCTTAACTCCTTTGAAAGAGCATCTTTGGCGGTGGCCGCAACTTTCTTAAAGTTGTCTTCATCTAGCTCTTTGTAGATGAGGAAGAATGCCTTCTTGTCTTTCTTCCTCATGTCCTTTAAGAAATCCCTTTGGCTCACCATAAGTATAACATCATCTTGAGGCTTCTTATAGCCTCTCTCTATTACCTGCCTTGTGACCTGTGATCCGAATAAGACCTTCATCTCTATTGATTTGACGCTAATGCCACTTTGATGGGGAAAAGAAAAGAAAAGATAGAAAGAATTAGATAAGAAGGATTGAGGGATGAAATAAGAGGCAAATTAAAATTTTTATTTTTCGTAGATGATTCTCTACACTTTTCTTTTCTCACTTTTTTTTAATGACAAAATTCATCTATTTATAGGACCATAGATGAGAGTTACAAAACTTAATTGTTAAGGCTACATTCATATACTTTTATTGTATGTATCCTATCTAATTTACTAATGATTTATTATTTTCATAATATCCTCCTTCATGGTGATCTTTATCATGGTAACCTCTCCAATCTCACTAAATTCCATAGGTTACAATTGGTTTCACCCATGTGATTATGAGAGAGGTTTCAATTCTCGCTTTTAATTAAGATTAATTCTCTTAACACCCTCTAACTTTCTGATTTTGTTGTATATCTGAAATCTTAATTAAGTTTAAGTCTCTTAACACCTTCTAACATACATAGCTTGTCAGTTAAGTGTGTGGAAGGATACATTTCTAATTGTTCTTGTTTAACAAAATCCTTTATAAGGAGTTGGCCTTTCAGTATTGTGCACATGTAATGATCTCATTTATTTTGATCAGAAACCCTTAGATAGAGAACACATTTTCTTTGTGCCACTGAGTCGTTTTGTATCTCATTTTATCACTATTGGCAAATGGCAAAAGTATTTGTAATTGCTTATTAAGGCTTCTATTTCCCAGAATACCAGTCTTTCTCATCTTATGCATTGGAACTATTGTTTAGTGTCCTGTTGAAAGAGAATCTTCAAAGTTCTAACCACTGGCATCCCTTTCCTAGAGTAGCTAATTACCCCCATATTGATTTGTTTAAACATTTGTGAGGCATTTCATCTATATGTTTCAAGGCTGATAAGAAAATGTGATGCCCACTTCTCCCATGTATTGAAATTTTCTAGTATCCCGTGTTGCTTGAAAAAGAGTATGGCAAGAGAAAAAGGGAGCACATAGAAGGATTTTAAAGCTTCTGAATGAGTTGTTTATAGGCGTCATAAAAACATTTTAGCTCAGTCATCATAATTTTGGCATTCAAACCTTCGCTGTCATCTGAACCCTACCTCTTTGAAGTTTTCAAAGCCTGATTTGAGAATGCTCAAGATGTCAGGTGCAGCATTTTGTCAAGATCGCTTTTGTTAATTGTTTTATGGATATGTAACTTTCTGATTTTGAGGTATATCTGAAATCTAAACGTTCCAAAATAAATCTTGCACTCTATCCTTTATCTCCTGAAACTCAGCTATAGTTCTTTGTTCATGTCAGTGTTTCCTCCATTTCTTTCACTAAACTCTGAAATCTGATTTACAATCTAGTCTGGACATTCCCGATCATTATAACTTTTGCTTATTCTGGAAGGCATGTTTATTATTGGATTCGGTTTGCTCATGTTTTCAGGCATGAAAACTTTAGATTTTGACCAAGAAGAGCTATTTTCCATGTAATCATCCCAATGGCTTATTATTCCATTTGTTGCTTGTCAGACCTACCTAGAAGTGCTAGAGAAGATATCTTGTTCCCTGAGGGTTATATTCTGCTGTTTTTACTTTGGATAGCTTCTTTAAGTATTCTTTCTTGCAGTTCATAAGCACAGGTTGGACTGTGTCCTTAAGCCAACCACAACAAAGTCTCTGCTTTGCTGACTTTTACTTTAGAAAATGATTGTGCACTTCAAATCACATGAGATGAAGATCAGAATCAAAATAGTATAATTGTTGCAATTGTCATCTTTATAACTTTAATATGGTCATGTATCTCTCCCTTGATAATGTTTTTTTTTTTTTGGTTCTTTTTAAACCTTGTATCTTTCATTTAATAAAGTTTTCTTAGCACACAGTGGTATGTCTCATCTCTTTATTCATCAAATATATCAAACAGTCTGCTTTATTTTCATACCCACCAATCTGCCCTGTTAAATATGCATTCTACCTCTAGTCAGCAAGCGTGTGTATTTTTTTCTATTATTCCTTTAATTACTCTTTTTTCTTGGATATCTCTATTATTATTTCGTCACAATCATAAGCTGAAATCTGGTACTTAATTGTAGTTAGATGATTCTTCTATGAGATTGTAGTCAGATGGATTCACCTTACACATAAATGATTGGTCCTTTCTCTGTGCATGAATTTATTAATCCAGATGTGGTCAGCAAAGCTTTTGTCCGCATAGTGGGGAGCTGGCGGAACACCACTGATGCAGCAGGCTATTCGCCATGGTTACCAGCAAAACGGTATGTTTCCACCAAACCTAAAACACAATATCCTAACCCTTTCAACAGCTAGTTTCAGCAGCCCCCTTCAAGAGGCAGCACTAGCCTAGGCTGGGATCGGAGACCAGTAACTCTCTTCAGAGCTTCGCTTGCAATTAGTGGTTATGGTCACTGCAGTCAGAGTGGTCAAGTAATTGAAACTCAATCATCTTACTTATTACTGATTTTATCCTTGCCTCTACCGATGGATCTGTGAGCTACAACTATGGACAACCACATTTCCAAACTATGGACCTCAAATGCCTTATCCACATTCCACTTCCATCAGAATAACCTGGGTTATTATGAGCTGAGATGATAACCAATCAGCAAGCCTGCAGTTCTATGAGCTTGCAGCCAGAGCAAGCTCATAGGCCTACTGGCAACAACCAAGTAGTCATTCTGGTTGTGCTCTGCATCATACCTACAGTGAGACATTTTATGATCGACCATTTCAAGCAGTATCTTGATTATATGGGCCACCTAGAGCAAGTCAGCCAGGAGATCTTATGTATCAAGGCTTTTCACGACCATTCTAGGGATCAAACACAACCAATGAACAATCATGTCTAAGGCTTTTCATGACCATCTTAGGGATCAAACACAACTGGTCAACAATCATGGCCATTTGGTACTAGTGCACCTTTGCAGTCAGCATATCTCTATAGTCAGAAAATGTGCTTACTTCAGGAGCAAGAGATGGATACTCTCGACCAGCATCTGCTGCTTACCCCCACTGTGGGAAAATAGTCCTTGGTTACAGTCAAGCTGGACAATCAGTGCTTTCTTGCACTTGACCGAGCTTGCATTCTGCTGGTTGTGGTCAGTACTCTTCACAGCAGAGTTATGGTGGTCCTGTCTCAAACTGTGTGTTATGGATACCATGGGTTGGCAGGTATGGAGTGCCTCCGCCTGGAAACAGCCAACCAGTTTATTTTTAGCAGCCAACTAACCAATCAGGGTTCTACTAGTAGTCAATGCCTCTCTTTGGATACGTTGGTTAACCAGGGAGTGTAGAATTATTGCCAGAGTGACCTTCCTTGGCCTGAATTTTCTTGGCCGCCTGCTTCTGATCAGATGTATGGTAGTCATTGGTGCCTACTCATGTCTCTTTGAAATCTTGACTGCAGCTGCTCCATTGACATTCGAGTTGTCTTTTGCTGCTTGTTGGGGTTTAAGACCATCTTTCATTGTTGTTTCATACGATTTTTCGTAATATGATGGGTTACTTCGATAAAGCTTTTAGTCCTGCAATAGTAATATTCTTCATATTTTGCATGGGTATTTTACAATTGCAGCTGAAATGCCTAAGCAGCTTTTGATGGGTGTCAAACTTAACAAGATATCAAAACAATACACGAACTGTCATCAGTATGATGCTGTGGTAATGACAAGTACAGGTAACACTGTTTTTAAAGATGCAATCGGTAAGATTGGGGAAATATGCTGCAAAATATGAAGATCTGTATGAGTTGTCTGTGTTAGTACTCTATCTGTAAGTTGTCTTTTCTCTAATGGTACGTGCTACTGTATGTTACTCTCTACGATTGACAACACAAACCAGTAATAATGCTTGAAAGGTGACTTGTGAACACCTCTTCATACATTAAGCTTCTCTGGTGCGAGAACATAAACATGATTGAATGAACACTCGAGTTTTTTACCATGATTGCATGAACATAGGAAGGGCATACTCTGTCATGATTGCATGAACTAAGCTAATCAGCAGCAATTTTCTTTTTAGTAAGTGTTAAGTGTTTTACCGCTTTCTTTTGATAACAAGCTTATTATCCTTAAAATTAGAGGTTTCAAATGTGATTTGGCAGAATTTTTAATAATTGCTTGTCCTTTTTTTTAATAAGGACAGAAGTTTCAAATTAGAGGTTTCAAATGTGATAGGCAGAAGTTTTTAATAAGTGTTAAGTGTTTTATTTGTCCTTTTTTTTATAAATAATCTGATATATATTCGTTTCAACATATTAGCTATTAGCCTAAGCTTCTAGAAATCTCAAGATTTTTGTTTACCAAGTGATAAGTGGCGGTGGTGGCCCATCTCCTTAAACGCGTGACCCATTGAATAGGAAAGTTTTGGTCCCTTGCTCTCCCTGGTGCCTACCACATATAGATGTCATGAGGCCACAATCGTATTCTTGTTTCGTTATCTTCATTGCAGGTCCCATATCCATGTTGTCTTGACCTACGTTGGACCCATTGACCGAGGGAAACACCCTGTGCATCTTCACCTAAAACAAGATCTAGCATTAATGATGCTGGGAAACAAAGTTTGAGTAGCTGCAGTGACCAATTGCAGGCTCAATATCTGTTGTTGCGAGCTCCTTGTGGAGCAGCTGATCACCATTCGTTGGTCTAAACCTGGAGGGATGATGCCTTTATAATTTTGTTCACATCCTTTTATAGTTTGAATCCCCTGATGCACGCCATTCACAGTCAAGCACATTAGACGGGAGCATTATGAATCAGCATTTCCGCGTACTGTGCACGGTGTTTCTTACATTTGTTCCTCTCTCCAGCAAACATTGTTAGACTACAACAGTACTATACTGAGAAAGAGAGAGAGAGAGAGAGAGAGAGCCTAACGTGCCGGACGTACTCTCTCTCGTCTCTCTTCACTCCGCAACCCCAAACCGCAGACCGGCAACGATAGCTGCCAGAGTACTCTTCCAATTATTTCTCACCTTGAAGCATTCTTGCATCAACAATCACGTACTTTTTTACGTATTACGTACACCCTTTGGTACACTGAAGGACGTCAGCTGATGGTGTTATTATCTCGAGGGATAAATGTGATGGTCTACAGGAAAGGGTCCCACAAGGACGCATGGTGTTCCCACTCCTCTGGCTCGCTCACCTCAGGGTTCCAAGCTGGTGGGCTCAGCAGCAGCGCCTCCGCCAGCTCCACCCACATCTTGGGCGAGTCCAGCCCCAGCTCGTCGTTGCCCAGCCGCTCCAGCGCCGGCGCCGATACCCTAACAGTCCTGCACCGGAGCCTCGCGGCCGCCTCCAGCGCCGCCGCACGTATGTCCTCGGGGTCCGAGCTCCGGGGCCGCGGAAGCTGCTCCGCCGACTCCGGGAAGTTGAGCTGCGCGTCGCGGCCCTTGAGTCGCAGCGCCGCCACGTCGTGTGCCACCGCCGCCATCTCCGCTGACTCGAAGCTCCCCAGCCAGATCCTGCTCTTCTTCCCGGGCTCCCTGATCTCCGACACCCACTTCCCCCACTTCCTCTTCCTCACCCCTCGGTAATGCACCGCCGCCTCTGCTCCCATCTCCGCCATTGGTATCTATCTATCTATTATGCTCGCTCGCACACTCAACTGTTGAGATTGCCCAGGTAGACGGATGACGACGACGATGACGACTCGATAACATGAGATTAGGGGAATGGTTTATGCAAGTATATATAGGCAACGGGATGAGATTACTCGCACACATGTGAGGAGACGCACGGAGACAAATGCGGTCCATTCACAAAGCCAAAAAAATCTGATCGAGAAACAACATACGAGTCGGATGTCAATTGGAAGGACTCAGTGGAGCGCACCTCAGTGGGTATACGGGATCTTCACCAACGTACGTAAGAGAAGGAACAAAAGAAATGATTGCGGGGGTATCCTTGGATTTATCAGATGCAGTGCACCAGGAGTGGAGGTACACGACGGATAAGGCCCGTCTCGTGGTCGAATTAATAATTGGAGACGGGCATTGTTTTAGGAGGAGAAAACGTCCCTCGAGACAGCTGGATTCCTCTACTCCTTTCTCCTCTTCTTCGTCTGATGTTTGCTGCTGAACTGGATTCTGGCTTGCGGATGAAGTGTTTGTCGGATTGCTCGGGGATCCCTTCGCTCGTAGAGCGGCACGCCCTCGGTCGAGCCGTGGTGTGCTGAGGTGCGCGGCCGAGAGCGAGGGTCGGCAGGGAACCCCCCCCCAAGCTCCAACCCCCCAAAACCCCCCCCCCCCCCCCCCCCCCCGTGAGGACAGGTGTCGCTTTATGGATGGGTGTGTCAGTCGAGACACAGGAGTTCCACCCACAGCGGATGGAACGATCCTATCACTTTATTGTTCTTTAATTTTAGATAGAAGTTCTTTATGATGAGATAAAATCCATCACATTCATTTGTTTACTTGTACTATCATAGAATCCGGAGGATTCTGATGGAGAAATGAGTCTGATTCTTAAACCTAATTCTTCGCATGGAATTTATAAAACATAATAAGTGATCGAATGTCCTATTAGTTGATGTTTCTCTTTTTAGGCTAAAATTCTCTTTCTATTATCAAAAACCAAAGAAGGTCATTGAGATGCTATAAGAATTATTATACGAGGAGATTTTTACTAACATCTTTGATGTTAAAAGGTGTCTCTTGTTATGATTCGACTCTTGTCCTTTTGATTTGAAGTAACGATGGAGCTAACTTGTAAAACGAGCGAAAGATGTCTAACCGTCTTTGGTATCACGAGCGTGACTCTTTTAGTTTTATTATCGTATCGGGTATCGAGTTAAGTAGGTTAGAAAGTTATGAGACGCTGACGTAAAAAAATGGATGTGGAGAGAGCCGAGGTCCCCTTTTCCTAAGATTAGCATAAATCAAAACACCCCCAAGTGAACTTGTTTCGCTTTTGTGGTGTGTCATTTCGTATGTCAACATCAAGTGCAAATCTTTTGACCATTGACACATTTGTCGACGTCAATGACAATTCGAAACCTATTATTAGATTGCTATTGATGGGTCCTTCAAAACCGTTTGTTCAATCAATCAATCAACCAATACCGACATGCAGTAAGTGTTCGATGCCAATCTCATCAACAACACTAAGAAAACCTCTATTTTATTCGCATCAACGAGTCACCCCAAATCATTTGAGCCCACATCGTAACAATTATCAACAACCATTATTTATTGGCTTTGCCGATCTCCATCCATAAAACAAATACTTCCAGGTAGGACACGAACTTAATTGCACTCTTCTCTACGTCAGAGCCACATCCAATCAGTACGCAGGGCAGGCAACGATAGAGCTGAGGTCAGCATCCCACGTCAGCCAAATGATCAAAACGAGCATCATCAAATACTGACGGTTGAAATGGCTCGTCAATCTCATCAAATCGTCGACTGTTCGACAGCTGTCCGACCAACTGCAACATCATTTTGATGCCATTGCTAACGAACAAGTACTTCATCCGTCAATATTTGCATGGGCAATACGTACGCCAGAAGGTAAGTCCACGTTCCTCTCGTTGACTTCCACAGAGCGAATTAGTACGTCGACATCGATCGGCTCCAAAGATTACATGAAGCAGTGATGAGTGCAGTAAATGGATGTGGTGGTGGCGAGAGGAAGAGGAAGAAGGAAGCTTCCTCCTGCGTCATTAGCAGGGGATGGGACATCACAGCCTGTAGCTTAATGCATTGATGGGAACAGCTGCATGTCCCATAGCTATTAAAAACTGTATATGTATATATATATATATATATATATTCCTCAAGTGGTAAGATATCGAAGCTTGCTTTAAAGTGAATCTTGAAACCATAGAGTAAGGTAGGGGATAAGACCGAGTGTTTGTGAGTCATAGGTCAGTCAGCCAATGATTGGCTCTGGTGCACATGGGTCCCATGTGAGCCCCACCACACATCTGGATGCAGGATGCCCAGGCTTCAGGACCTGTCCCTTCCCGGTACTGTTGCTGGCTTAAAGGCTTAAGGTTTTACTCTGTCAAGTGTAGTCTTGCGATGATCGATCGGTGTCTGCACAAAAGTATAGAAAGAGAAATCTGAAGAAAAGAAAGAAATCACTGTCTTCTCTCATTTGTGTGTTTTTGCATCATGTAAATTGGCAAAGAGTGAATCCAAACTGGCAGGTTCATGAATCTGCCTCTCGCAGCATTCTTCCTTTGGCTCCGTGCTCGGATATGGCTTTCTCCCACACCATCTATTATTCATGGGTGGCAGTCGGCACTTTCCACCACTTTTCTTGCAGCAGTTCCTGTTGACACAGCAACCTTTTGCAAACATCTTTTTGTGCTGACACAGTTATATGATGTGAACTGCCTTATGTTGAACCTCTGATATATTTCGATCTAATCCCAAGTTTTCCCTTGCTGCAAGAACTAATAAGCAACACCTTGAAGAATTACTAGCCATGTTATAGACAAAAACCAGGACAAATAAGATACACCAGACCTGCACTTTCACTGCATCATCAGCAGCTTCAAGATGGGGCATCAATCACATTGCATTCATTAATCAGAGATTTGACTGGGGCATAGGCAATTTTAATATGCTAGCAGTTGGCAGGGATTGGTACAGCAAAATGGTAATCCATAACAAGAGCCATCCTTCATTTGGTGTTGATGCTTGGACCATCAAATATCTTCAGAACAAACTATATTTCATGATGGCTGTCTATACATAGAAAGGTAATTAATGGTCTACACAACAACAACAAAAAATGATCAGCTCTCACACTTTCAGAAGCTTGATTAGGTTACAAATGTGGCATGATAGTCTACGGATGCTACTATCACAGAAGTAACCAACCCATGTACTGTTTCTAAAATTTGTGCCAACTAGAAAATGGATTTGCCAAATGATTTGGTGGATGCAGATACATCGGTTAGTCAAGATAGTAAGAACAAAGAAGCTTATGGTTATACCCTACTTGAGAAGATCATAGAGCTTTTGTTGCAACTTCCTGCTTCATTTGACTCCTCTTGATTCCTTCTTGTCAGTCATCAAGAATCCTGTCATGGGTACCTTGTTTCAACACAAAAGCTCAAATCAGTCCACAAACCAAAGTTTTGATGCCTAGAAGATGGTACCAATTGATCCAAACAGGCAGTGAAGTCCACAAGCATGAACACTGTCAATGTGCAGTGGAAATTAAGCCGGAACACAATCAAAACCAAGCAAAGATTCTCTCTTTAGAATCCTCAACGAGAAACAATTAGAAAAACACAAATATAGACTTGGAAATATGATCCACACTTCCATAGTTCCCAAATAAGCATACATAATCGATAACTATCTCCTACTGGACGTTTAGTCTGCTTTAGACCTGTGGATCCTGAATAAGCGACAAACCAGAGCTACAAGCCACTGCCAAAAGAGAACGAGCCAATTTGACCTCATAGGTTTGGGTTCAGGCCTCGGTCCAAAGATCCCTTTGTAAATCTCTTTCTGCTTCTGATAAACAGCTTTGTCATGTGCAGCCAGCAGATGCAGCTCCCTGACAATAGCCTTGTCCTGTGGAGAATATTTCCTTGCCTTCTCAAAGTCCTCCTTGGCAGCATCCGTCTGACCGAGTTCTGCTCTAGCTTTCCCCCGTCTAAACAGCGCCTTCACATTGTTCTCGTCCTCCGATAATACCTGAAAGATATGAATGCGGTCAGCATTAATACAACTAACAAGAATATAAAAGCATAGAGAAGACTATTAACTTATGAAAGCCAAACCAACATACGAATTAATAATCTATGATTAGAAAAACATAAAGTAAAAAAATAATATGATACACATATTAATAAAACGACCAAAGATAGCCAAAGTCAAGCACAAATTCAGAAGAAAAAATATTACTAGTGTTCTACATAAACTTACAATTGTACATTGACCAATAGCTTCCTCATAGCGCTTTAGTTTGATCAAGCATGCAGCCATGTTGAGGTGGCAAGGGTTCTTCACAGCCAAGGCCATGTCCCTGTACTTTCCAAATAGCTGGAACATGAAGTCATCCCCCATGTATGCTATTGCCTGATGAGGAAAGCAAAATAAGCCAAGACTTCCTGCAGAAAATAATAACATGAAATTAATGAGAATACATCAAACTAGAGTTATAGTTGCTAACCATTTCATACTGTTGCATGGCCTCCTCAACCTTTTTCTCCTTAAAGTAATCATTTCCTTCCACCTTTCTTCTTTCGGCAGCTTCAATCCTCTCTTCTACTGTCATGTCACTTCGGGCTTTTCCCTGTTAGTTGTATTTATGAAACAGCAATGCCAAAGTGAGATAATTTTTCTGACTGAACCTTGAAGTTCAAATATAGATTAAGCATTGAAGTTTGAATAAACCAAGATTGTAACAATATTAGAGATGTTTACTACAGTATTTTTTTTGGGTTGAATTACTGCAATAACGATATGGAATATCAGCAAACAAAGAAAAATGCAGAAGCTGCAAACTCACTTCTTTGGCTTCATCATAGCCAATAAGTTCAACCTCATAAACAAGGTCTGCCATAGGGGGGACGTTTGGGAATGAAAAATTTCCTTCTTTCCCGTAGCCAAGTTCCCAACCCACATGAAAGAGTGCACGTTCCCCACTCCTCATGCTAGCAATGCCGATTGCCAAACCAGCCAGTTCTGCTTTTTCTGTTGTAATATAAGCAGAGTTAGTTATATCCCACCTACCAAGCACAGAGAAGTTACAAATGAACAAATTCTAAATACTTTCTATAGGAAAATATGTGTACAATTTCCAATCACCAATATTGATAAACTCTAAATCAATTCACTATGCACGTATACTTTTCATCTGTTTCGAAAAGATGATGCTAACGATTGAAGAAGGATATATCACATATAAGCTGCAGTTACCATGTCAGGCACTTGCCAGAACACACACACACAGTATTAGAAACCTAAATTCTAGATTTAAACTAACAAAAGGGATGTACAGGGACCCAGCAATACTTAACTAATAGGGATTCACCACATCAACCAAGCCAATTAAATAAATCTCGCCCACAACTCGTTCAACTAGGAACACAAAAAATGACCAGGAATATCTTCGAAGTGAATTTGAATATTGGACTTGGAAAGATGATTAACAT